CAATAATAGAACAATTTTTTTTTTTCATATTATATTTCATGATTGAATAATTATTGCATTTTTAAAAAAAAAATATCTTAGCAGAAAACAAAAAAAAAAATTAAAGTAGAAAAAAAAAACAGTTTTAGTAAAATCGAATGATACCTAATTTAATTTTAATTCTATAATTCTCTTAATAGTAAAATTCACAATTAAATTTGAGAGATCAAAGGAATACAAATCATAATTATTAATATTTACCATTATTAACATCTTTTGATATTACCCTAATTAATTCTAAAATACAATTGAAATATAATTACATACATGTATCGAAACACAAATTATATTATATTATGTAACTTAAAACATAAAAGATATGTCATTACACACACACATACACACTCACATCTTTCCTTTCTTAATTATTAATTTCATTATGTCATAATAAAATTTATATACATATTAATTACTGATAATACTATTTATGATTTATACATTTTCTCTATCTTTCTCTCTCTTTCTCTATATATTTCTTTATTTTTCTTTTCTCTATATTCTTCTTTTGCTATCTTACATTCTAATATTAGTTTTGTTGTTTTTTATATTAATTTTTTTTATTAGTTTTAATATTTAACTAATTTTCATAATTACAATATCATTTTTTTTCATTTATTAATTTCAATTTTATTCATTTTATATAATTGATATTATATGTTTCGCTTTTGTTTGTATATATACCTATATATAATGAATAAATATTATAAATCTTGTTTTATTTTTTATATATGAATAGAAAAAAAAATTTAATAAAATCTTTTCTTAAATGTTTATACATAGGTGCATTATATAGCAATGTATAAAAACTTGTGTTTTGATAATGGTAAATAAAAATTTATAAATAATTTTTTTTTTTGTATAACAATTTCAAAAATCTTAATAATTAATAAAACTATTAAATTTACTAAATTAATTTTAATTTCAAAAAATTCTAAAAATAATTTCTAATATTAAAACTACCCATCAGTATTTTAATTATTATTGAGAAAAATTAAAAAAAATTATGTTATAGAGAAAAATATAAAGAAATATACTCTCTTTTCTCTTCCCACACACACATGTCCAATTTTTATATTAACAAAGAGTAAATATCACTAAAGCAACACTGTTTCTATTTATAGATAAATAAAATAATTAAAAATAATTCAAGTCAAATATATATTACAAAAATTAAAAATATTATCAAAAATATTACAAATTTTTATACAAGTCTATTAATGTCATCATTATTATTATTATTATTATTATTTAAAATGTATAAATTTAAGAAAAGAACTTTGCTTTTCTATAAATTACACAAAATGAATATAAATTTATTTTGTGTAAGAAATAGCTTAAAAGTTATTATTATTTTTATAATAACATTATTATGTTATATATAAAAATAATAATTATTCAGGAACTATTATGGAAACGTCACTGTCTGCATATACGAAATGTTAAACTATTGAAAAAAAAAAAAAATTCATTCATCGCCATTTCCAATTTAATTATGATTATCGAAAAGTATATTACAATTTTAATTCAAAATATTAGCTTAAAGCTAATTAAATAATTAATTGTTGAGTTAACAATTATATTGTTAAATTAACAATTATACTGTTGAATTAACAATTATATTGTTAAATTAACAGTTATATTATTAAATTAATAAAAAAAATTAAATTTTTAAATTAATAATTAAATTATGGCATATTCAATTTTTTTTTGAATATTAACCATATACATAATATATATATATGTATATATATATAAATTAAATATACGATTCGAAAATCATTAAAATAAAAAAAATTACTTAAAAACTATTAAAATAATAATTTTATATAGAATTTTAAAAATATTTATAGCTAAAACCTTTAAATATTTTTATATTTTCTATATATTAAAAGTAAAAACTAAAAATTTTTATACGAGCAAAAAAAAAAACAAAATAAAAACTAAAATAATTAATTCACATCTTATTCATATCCTATCTCATTCTACGAAAAAAAAAAACACAAAATGAAAAACAAAATAAAAATAACAAATGAAAATAAAAATTTACAGGGCCATCTTTTGTATGTTTTTAAAAACATGTGTTGTTTGATTGTTAAGCTTTTTATATAAAAAAAAAATAAAAATACTTAGCATACTATACATACTAATTTGTTATCATAATATTTTAACAGAAAACTTAATAATACTCATTATTACACAAAATATTATTATAATTTTAATATTGAAAAAAAAAAACTATGATACATAAAAATTAACAGCGGTAATAACAAATTAATTACAGTATTTGACAGGACAAATTAAAATATGCTCGTGTAATAGAATGTATTACGTTTTTTATGAATGTATTTTATGTAAAATTGATTTACATAATATATTTGTAATTGATACACATATAAATATATACAAAATTGATTTACATAAAATTATAAAAATATTGTATACTAAACGGATAAATCGTTTATTGTGTACAATAAGCGTTTTGAAAAATTTCTTTGTGTTACTTTTTATTTCTTTTTTTTTTAAATATTTACTCCATATTATGAAGAATTTATTATAAATATGCAATATTATATTTAGGAAAAGCAAAAATTATTTATATATCAATATAACAATTAATATATCGCATTTTATACACAAATAAATTAAGGGGTATTTGGTAAGTTAAATGCATAATATCGACTTTGATATTAAAGTTATATATCATATTTGGCATATTAAATTTTATTTTACAATATAAAACAAAAATAATAATCAGTACAAATAAATATCTATTATCCATTTCTTCTATCTAACATGCATACTACACAAATATTAAAGTGTTTGTTTGTGAAAAAACTCCGAAAATACAAAATAATATTAAATAGTTTATTAATTTTAAAGATGAAATGTAAATGAATTTACTACAAGGTATTTATTCATTACCTGTATGTCAAATTTAATTTAATGGCGTAATGAAGATAAGAAACGTTTAAGTTTTATAGGAGCTGACATTAAATAGTCGTATAAAATTTCGTAAAAAAAATAAGTACGCGCACTTACTACCCATTTTTTTACATGAAAGAATGGATGGGCTGCAATAAGGACCGGGGAGACAGGGAAGATTACATATTTGTCCATATTCGATTACATTATAGTTAACAATCTGCAATCTGCAAGTCGAATAATAAATTTTTGTTTAATATACCCAAAAATATGTGAATTTTCTTCTAACTAGAAATTTACTTCCAGGAATTTGATTTTGCCGGAAAATTTCTCTATTTATTTAGTTAGCAAATAGAAATCAAAAATTAAAATTTAAAAAATTCTTTGAATTATTATTTTGTTGGATATGGTCAAAAATATTAAATCGGTTCCTCATTCAATTTCCGAAATTTAATATCACCGGAAAAAAATTTTATATCAATGCTTTAACAACCTTAAAATTTCAAGTAAATATTTGTTAACTATTTTCATCCAAGAAATTAATTATTTTAAAATATATTGAAATAGTTTAATTTAAATCCAATTTTTCTTAGATATAGTTCTGCCGAAATAAATAATAGCAAAGAATACTGGCAGACTAAGACAAACAAATGAATAAATTGGAAAAAAAATATACGGAAATGGCGATATTATACTAAAAAAATTTATATATCAAAGAGATATAATGATATTAAGAAAACTCAACTGAATTAACAAAAATGTTAACAAGATTTTAGTTAATCAAATATACTCTAATATCTACCTAAGTAATCCTATATAGAGGGTAAATCACATTGAAAATAAATAACAACATTGTATAGTTTATTATATTTTAATATATAATATACAAGACTTAAATAATTTCTTAAACTAAATTGGGCTTGAGTCCGACTCTAGTCAAAGAATTTGTACTTCTAATCGCGAAGATTTTTGAGAAAAAAGTGGTGAAAACAAGAGAGCAATATAATAATATCACAATTTTTTAAAAATTTATATTAAAGTTTAAAAACTAATGCTTACATACGTGACCATATGTCAATTGTTCCGCAGCCCTTTGAATCATTCATTCGGACGATAATTTCCATTTTTACACAAAAATCACAATAATCAACTATAAAATGTAAATATTGAGTAAAGAGACTTCACCTTTCATAGGAAACTTTTGTAAGAAAAATATTAGAGATCTTAAATTTCTTAGTAATTATATACATATATGTATAATCAAAAAACACAACAAATACAAAATATCAAGCTATTCACATGCATAAATCTGTAAAAAAAACTCCAAATTATTGAATAATAAACAACAACTTCTCCTATTCTTTGTCATCATCGTGTTTAATGACTTTATATAAAATCATAAGATTACTACATTTATTGTTTCTTTTAATTTTTCTTATAAAGAAAGAAAGAATTAAATTTGTTATATCATTTGCATAGCAATTTTTAAAAATTTAATTAATTTCACATTAATCAATAAAAATATTTTTAAATAAAATGAAAATTTCTTTCTTTCTTTATAAGGTAAATATTTTACGAATTATGGTTTATTTTTCGCTTACCGTATATAAAACAACAAATGAATTGTTCAACTCTATGACTTTAAAAAAAAAAAAATTATTTAAAAATTTTTTGAAACATTTTATGACAATTTCTTTCTTGGTTTTTTTTTTCTATATTCTATATTACACCATCATTTCTACTGCTATTACTACTACTATTTACCACCACTACTACCATATGTATAACTGCTACATAAAACTGAATTAAAAAAAAAAAAAAATTTTTAATTATAACAAACCATACGTCCTTTTCATCGATGCATTTTATTATACGCACAACAAAATATCAATCAAATCAAAAATCATTCAAAAAAAAAATCCAATTAAAATTACCTTATACTATTCTGTCAAAAACAAAACAAAAATAATAAATTAAAAAATTGATTGAACAAAACTTGCACAAATTCATATAAAAAAAAAACTTGCATAAATGAGTAGATGGTCCAGCTGTCGTTCGCGTCAACATATTTGTTCGAAGTATATCAAAAATTGATGACGTTACAATGGTAAGTTTTAATGAAATCACAATGAAAAAGAGTTTAATAAATAAAAATAAATTATAAAAATTTTTTTCTGTGAATACATATAAAAAAAAAAATCAAATAATTTTAAAAGTATTATGAAATTTAATTAATTTTTCTGTATAAAATAAAAAAACGGAACCTGGCTAGCTAGCCAGTTGTATTTTCAAATAAATTATATTATACGTGTAATATATTCAAATGTATATATTTATATATATGTATATGTAGAATATATGTATATATTTATATATACACTTTCAAAAATCAACTATATACTAAATATCAAATTTAAATACACAAAATTTTATTTTGTTTGTGATGCTTTTCAATCAACATAAAATTATTCATAATTTATAAATGCCAACTATAATAAAAAAAAAAACAACGGAAGGTTAGACCTAATACAAAAGTGTATAATGTGTAAGTTTTTTAAAGACAATTTTCGGATGTTGAACCTAAAAAACAGAAGCCATTTGTTAAATTGCTAAGGAGGAATAAATAACAAGTGCTCAATTATTTCATAAATATTTAATAAAAAGCCCAGTTTTAGCACCAGTTTCAGACTGAGACAGTGATAATGCATATACTTAAAAATTTAAAATCAAAGTAAAAAATTTATTTTGGAAACAAGTGCCAACATAATACTATATAATTCTGATACTAAAATAATCATATAGTTGAATTCAGAAAATCTTTTATTTTTCCAAGCGACTTTCTTTAAGATTTATATTTATTTATATTAACATCATGTTTAAAGTCTAACCAATCTTTGGTTCTCTTGATCAAAATGAGCCCGTTCAGTTTGTTAGCTACTTTCTCACTAAGGGTTAATATGATAGCAAAGTGATCGAAATTCCAATTAAAATCATCTTTCAAGTAAAAAAAAATTTACTGAAAGCCTTTTATATATAAAAAAGTTAATAAGATCCGGGACTTTGTACACATTAATAGAGCAATTAGCCTTACTGCCAGTAGAATGATAGGAATATTCCAACTCCCGAATACATTGATATTTTTAGCTCTAAGAAAAACCTCATGCTTTCTACTTAGAACAGCATTAAAACAGCATTATAAACGTACCAATTGTTTTATTTACTGACATTTTTTACAAATCGCTTCGGGGTTTCTATATACACGTTAATATATCCGTTCTCAACAGTAGTTAATCTCATTGAGATTTCATCTATTATAAGTAGTAAGTTTTTCATCATTTGCATAATGCTACTGTCGATTTCTCAAGTTTTTATATTTTATTATTTTCAATTTCTTTAGTTTTCATGCCTCAGATCTTGTGTGTAATTTCCTGCAATTTTGGAAAAGTACTTGTGAGTATATAACACCATGTTTTACCTTATTTGATGTAAAAGCATTAGTCGTTCTTGGGATCTTTTCATGATTACCCAAAACTAGTTTTGACCCATTCCTTTTCCTTCTTCCTTTTTGTTTTTCTAGGCACTAAATAACCAGGATATTCCACATTGCAGTTTGCACACCTTGTCTGAAAATTATTTTTTTATTACAGTCTGCCATCATATGGTTACCAGCACATTTAACACGTAAAGCCGCTTTGTATTGCGCAATGGACCCGTTCCTTCTAAGAGGCTCAACTTTAATTCTTATATACTGAAGATATTCCTTATTTGGCTTTATTAACAACTTTACCTATTTGTCTTTATTTATTTTAGTTGTCTATACTTTTATTTTCAACATTTAGTTTTAGTTGATCATTGTTATACATGTTTATCTTCATGTCAATGCTTTCCTCTTTGAGGAACCTTGCTAGTTGTGTAGTTAGTTATATTACTAACTATTACCGGAGGAGGCGTATATTTTTTAAGTTGAGCATTTTTTCTTGAGAGAGATTTCTCTACTTTAGTGCTGATCATTTATATTGCCGGTTAAATTAATATACACCATAGGAGGAGACCTTATAACCATTTAGCTCTTACCAAACCAGTTCATTAATTTTGCTAAGTGATATTATTTTTCCACTGGAAACTTCTCTGAACGTCTTGAACATTCAATCAAGTTTCGCTAACACCGAAATCTCTGCCGACACTTTGGAAGATATTCCTGCCGAATTTTTATTCTTAATATTTTCTCTCTTACCCCTTAATAAATAATTTATTTTTTCTCTTAAACTTTAATAAATAATTTATTTTGTTATAGAAGAACTTTTTATTTCTGTGTTTTTTCCTTTACATGATATCGGTCCTCAAAGTTGGAATTTCCGCCACCTTTTTTTTTTAAACTACAAGTTTTCTCTCGATAAACAAAATAGCAAACTTGTTTTTCCATTTAAAAAATGTGATTATTTGTCGTATAAACTGTCAAATGCAGATTTTATCTTAACACTTGTTTTATATTAATTATTCCCTCCCTTAAAGTATGCAATAATTTTTAATTGCATAAAATAATTTTGGTATGTAAAATCTTATGAAAATTATATTTAAAAAGAGAAAGTATTTAAATTTTTAAATAAAGAGCGATCCAAGGAAAATATTTATACTTGTTTAATGTGTATACTGTTTTACAAAATATCATTAGTTTGATCCGAATTTATTTGTTTATTATAAATACTTAAAACTGATTGATTGAAAAGCACATAAAATAAAATAAAATAATTTTTATCATCAGCAATATTATTAGTAATAATATTCGTGAAATTAATCATTATTTAATAAAATAATAAATGAATTCAATATTTGAAAAATCTGCTATATTACGATATTGTTTTATATTATTATTATTATTGAAAAGAAATGCAACATCTTTATTTCAGTTTCCGATTAATATGTAACTATACATATGTACATGTATAAATGTGAACAGTAATTTAATTAAAAATAAAAAAAGAAAAAAAAAAACAAAAAATATAAATATAAACGTTATGTATTAAATTTCTAATATTTTTCATCTTATTCAATATTCTCCAAATGTTTAATAATTTTATGTATTAGTTTATAATAATAATAATAATAATACATATACATACATATTAACAGGATTGGAACACTAATATCGAGATGTCGATATAGATAACGATATTTCATTCTTAACTATAATTCTTAAACATCAACATGTCGATACATTTTTTGTCGATATATATTGTCGATATATATTAATTTATTTCAATATCGATTTTTCTGTATTATAAACGATTAATTGTACATACATATATTTTATTCTTAAATTCTTCAAAAATCATATGTTTCTTTTATATATTTTAACTGAGAAATATAATCATTTAATATTCCGTCTGCGCGCTCCATTAAATATTTATAAAATAACATACTTTGTTAAACTACTAATAATTTTTTTACTTCATGGAAATTTTTAGAAAAAAAATACATAATTACTCTGTATTAATTATGAAAACCCGAAAAATATTTTTTCAAGTTTGATAATATAAATTTAATGACTTGGTCAATTAATTTGGAGTTTTCACTAACTATAATAAACAGTGTTCATATTGAAAATATCGAAGAATCGATTATATTTTTAGCAATATAACTAAACGGCATTTGCTAAAAATAAATACTCATTCAATATTGATATTTTATAGTATCCATATTTTTTTACTGTGTTCCAACCCTAGTATAAACCTATATTATAATTAATATGAAAAAAACTATTTTTATATTTATATGCGTACATATATGTATATATGTATATGTATTCTTAATAATATGTATATATATATATATATATATGTCCATAATGTACATTAATGTATCTTAATGTTGAATTTTTCATTGTATAATAATATAAGAACATAAATAAACGAAAAATGAGTCGATGATTTTTAATTTTGAATAAAATGTTTCAGAGAAAAGTTTTAAAAATTAAAATAAATTCTATAGTAAAAAGACTTGAACGATCTTGGATCACAATAAAACAAAATTTATAATAAAATCATAAATATATAAAAAGAACATGAGCATATTCAAAACTGTTATAAAATTAAGGCGTTATAATGCATTGTATTAGTATTCTGTCTTAGTGCTAAAATATTTTAAAAGAAAATTTGAAAGAGAAATATGTTATAAGTTAAATCTCTTTATTATTTAAATAGAATTCATATGTTAAATTAAACAATAGTATGTCAAAAATTATCCAAAATATTGTTTGTTTCCCGCATAGCAACCAACAGCGGTCAATTATAAAGATTATGCATAACAGCATCATCATTGCAACCACAAGCGCTGCTATAGCAAAATATAGTATAGAATCAAATATACTCGGTATGGCCGGTTATAAATTGTTGTACTGAATAGTGACCAGTAAATACAATTTTTACAAAAGCGCAAAACCGATTTTTAAATCTATCCTAAGCAACTTTTGAAAAATTTCTTTGAATACATGGTATTTTTTTGCATAGCGATAATTTACGCGTTCAGAACGTGCTTACCGTACGCGATACCATGCAGGGGTATGTTCTCTGCAATAAGGCAAACAATTAAATCAGAAAGATCTGAATAGCCTCCCTTATATGAAACATTTACCAACATGAAAAAATTTTTGAATATTTAGCTGTAACAAAGAGAAAACCTGTTTTTTAAGTATTTTCGCAAATTCGATCGAAATTTTAAGGATGTTTATTAAAAAAGAAATGTAAATGAAAAAATAATCAGTTTTACAATAATTGATTTATAATTGAGCAAGCTCTTTAGTCAAGACACCTGAATTGTACAGCTTTCTTCAATTGAATAAACAGAAACTATTGTTTGTAAGTATCTCTTTCGGGATCTTTCTGAATATTTAAGCAATATGACAGAGTTTCCAATAATATGAAACATATAAAAATAAGTGTTATACTATATGAAAGTCACAATTTTTATTCTTTTTAAAATTTCTAGTGACACTATTACCTACATTTTACATTATGACATACATATTTAGTTAGGTGCCCTATGTTCAACAATATTAATTTTTAATCAAAATTTGCATTTAACGAATTTCAATAAAAACATATTCCACAA